TATATATATATTAATTTTATATATATAATAATAATAATTTTGTTGTAAAAGTGTGAATGGAAATATATATATATAATATTTATTTCCATTCACACTTTTACAACAAAATTAAACATCATCTATTTTGATAGCATAAATCAACTACAGTAATGCACAGCCCTGCACTTACAACCATTCCTGCATGTGAGAGAGACCTACTGGTAAGTGTGCAAGCTAGCTTCATATAAACAATGGCCGAGTTCCCAGCAAGAAAATAATCTACTATAGTTGAGACTTCTTTTACCGCATTCACATCATGTTAAATAAGGTGAAAAACATTTCCAACATGATATTTATACAATGTGTGATCTGATACATACCTGCGCCTTGGCGGCAATCAGGTCTATCTTCAGTCTCTTAGCTTCCCACGGCGAAGGTGGTACGGATGCTGATCCAGTGGACTCCGTACGGTTCCGCTTTTCTGGCGTCGCGGTCTCTGTGCCACCAAGACTCAATTTTCGCTTGCCCAGCGACAAGAGGTTAGAAATATCTATTGACAAATCAAAGAGCTAGTAAAATACTGTTCATAGTCTTCCGAGGCTCAAATAAACCATAGAAAAAATATCAACGTTACCTTCTTTTATGGATTGACTGCTATTATCTTTAATGGATTGATTACTATTATCCGAAAAATTCAATTTCGTAGACGCCGAGACTTTTGGCTGATCAGTATTTATAACCCGCCGAAAAGGCTCCAAGACGCTAAAAAGCGACATGTCTACCTCCTTAGCCATTTTGAATGGTTTTCCGCTCAATTTTCACTATAAATTGTTGCGAAAAATCAAAATTTTACGTGACATTCTAGCACACAACACAACACAATGCAATTTGTGATTTTTTTTCATTTCCACGTTCTTTTTTAATTTTGATTTTATCGCTGCGTTCAAACTAAAAATCATTGAATCTCGCGAATCGATTCAATGCATAGTGTTTTGTTACACAGCCACTTTTAGAAAAAGACCGAATGAATTATTTATTATGAATGAACCTACCGCAAGAAACAAATCGTTCATTTTAATTTTTAAATTATTGCTGGCCATGGAAACACAGTCCTTCAGCCGAAAACATACAGCTTGGCAAAAAAGAGTATGGATTTAATGAGATAATTTATGCCTAGATCAAATATGTGGCAACCCGATATACTACGACGAAAAATGTTTAGATACTTGTTATTTTTATTTATTGTTAAAGGCTTTTAGCGCCCAGACACACGACCCGAAAACTTTCTTGGTAGGCAACAACATTTTAATTTCTCGGAATAATACAACCGCACGTTGTCCACGCGGTCGCCAAGTGGACGAAAGCTAAGCCAGACTCGTATGAAATTCTCCAAACTCTTCTCTTATTTCCAAAATGGAAGAAAAAAAAGAGGTGAGATGATTTTGGGTTCATCACCCAAAATCATCTCACCTCTTTTTTTTCTTCTTTGCATTATTTGTATAAGTAATAATGCAATAACAACCTGTTTCTTTGTAGTTAAACTGCGCATAATTTTAGTAACTGGACGAACCCAAGTCGGCAAGCAGTAATGTGGTGAAGTTTTTGTTTCTTGAAAATTCTGAATTTAACATGTAAATTCTAAATAAATAAAGCGTATTTTGTTATAACAGTTCGGTCTCTAAACACGTGAACTCCGTCACCGCGTCACGGCCGCTCGGCGGCGACTATATTCGCGTCAAATAAACGCGCCCTTAAGAGTTAATTTTCAATTACCATCAGACTCGATCCATCCACAGTAACAACATAATATTTTTCACACAGAATTACATTTTTTTTTTTGAATTACCTTTTTATTTAATTATTTAATTCATTGAATTACCCTCACAGAATTATTTGTTTTTATAATTTAAATGACCTTTTTCCTTCTTACTAAGGGAGATTCGAGCAGGTTTAATAATTATAATAAAATAAATAGGATAAAAGGGAAAATGGGAAAAAATTTATTGTTTGTACAATTTATTCTAATAAACCAAAATAACAATTTAATTTTTTTTAATAAATACTAATTTTCGGATAATATCGCGGTTCATTTTACTCCCGACGTTTCGAAGACTGATTCCTTCATAGTCACGGGGCGGAATGAGCTGTTGGTCGTCTTCGATGTCTAACATTCGCGTAAACTTATAAAATTTTAAATCAATCAGATTCCAAAACACTTTTATCGAGATATTCCACCCCAGAAAACTCTATTGTATCTTGGCTAGACGTTCCGGCAACAACAAACTCATCTGAATCACATGAATCTGATGTGGTCTCGCTACTGCTCTCATCTCTGACGTTAATAACCAATTTTTCAATGTCGTCATACATAGTCATACCCCTTTCATAATACTCTTTTTCAATTTTAATAACATGTTGGCATGAATTTTTTCAATCTTCGGCAGTAATCGCTTGGAATGCTTGTTCAGCTGCCATCTGTCGGAATAAAAATATTATTGATTATGAGTTCAACTTAATAACATTAAGAAAAACGAATTATGAACTAGATCCCTACCTTTATGTCAATGGACAATTCCCCATATCAATTCAATAGGATTGAGGTCACAATGATATGGATGCAGCCGTACCACAGTGTGACCATGATCCCCCAATATTTGGTCCATTTCATAAAGGGCCTCTGGTTTGTGGCGTTTTACAAGCATTAACAATTCAGGTTTACTCATCATTTCATCAAATTGTATATTGTTTTGTAGCAACCACAGCTTTACAGCAGCAACTTTTGTTGCACTGGTTGGGGCCTTATTGATGACTACCGAATGGTAAGGAGCATTGTCCATAACAATAATGGAAGGCTCTGTCAAATTGGGAATTAATTTCTCGGTAACCCACTTAGTGAAATTTGCTCTATTCATTTCAGAATGGTAATCTTCATTCTTGTTTGTGCCACTGAAAATTAATAGTGCATTTGGAACAAACCCCTTTTCACTCCCAACATGCACAATAATATATCTTTTGCCTTTAGATATATTGTGTCGCACTCCACTAACTTCAATTGATTGCCAACATTTTTTAAGCTTGTAAGATGAGTGTACGTAGCTTTCATCTAAAAAAATAATTTGTTTTTGGAGTTCTTGAGGCAAATTTCTATTATGCATTATAACTTTTAAATATTGTTCCCTCTTTGCTGCTATATTAGGCTTGTTCATTAGTGCCGATCTGTCTGTTTTACATTTTTTATAAGAGAAACCCAGAGAATGTAATATCTTTCTTAGATGTTAACGGCTTCCATTAAATCCCAAATCTTCTTTAACTACAGGTAATCAATTACGTAGTGTAGGCACCTGAGAAGAAAAATAAAAAGTTTTTATTTATTACATAATACTGTTTTTTTATTGAAGAAAGTGGCATTAATATAAAATTATAATACATGCCTGTTTTTTTACCGTGTAGAAGAAATGAACCTTTTGTCTAATTGCGCAGAGGTCAAAATCATCGAGATCTTTCTTTGGTCGTCCTTTCCTATGTTTACCAGGTGTAGAAAACACGCCATTATTTTTTTCACCTTCTTCAACAATTTTTCTTATGGTATTGACAGACTTACCTAAAATAAATACCAAACATGCACAAATATACAAAAATACCAATTTATTTGAATTTTAAATCTTGAAAGAATCAAAAATATTAAGTCAACTTATAAATGATACGTAAACATAACCTTAGTTACTAATTTGTCAACTAAACACAAAAACTCGTTAATTGTATATTATAAGTAGTGCATAGTGCGTAATTCGACATGTAGAACGTTATAATAATTAAATAATTTGCATAAATACCTGTCATATCAGCTGTTCTCTGATAAACATTGTTAATTTCAGACAAAATTTGTCCCGCTTGAGATTCAGCCAAACATCGTAAAAAAACTTGGTATATCGCTGTTCTACCACTACTACGAATCGTTTTGTTCATTTTAAATAACAAAACAAGCAACAACCGTACGAGAGTTTACAGAACTTCGTATAAAATTACTCAGCGCATACAGCAATAACACAAAAGCTACTGGTTATTTGACACCACTGACATTTTTGATAGTGTTGCCACAAATATCTTTTTTTAGTTCCAGTTTTCACCGCGTCATACTCTTTTTTGCCAAGCTGTAAACGTTTAATTATATTTCTGTAAATATGGCCACCACAAAGAGGATAAGCAATTTGAGGTGGCGTGTTTGGATTGACTCGAGATTCCTTAGAACGGGCCGATACGGGTATTTTAGTTCGAGATTCGTATAATTTCGCGTTTTAATCTTCGATTAAGGCACAATAGCACTATCCTATTCCACTTTAAACTATACTCTAGCCAAACTCGATGTAGAATGTTTAATAACAAAGCGTTGCTAGGCAACCAATGATGGCTGGTGTGAAGAACCTTTTTTGTTTATGCTCTTTACTTTAGGCCTCTACGTTATTATTTTTAGAGTTTAGGCTAACTCTGCCCATAGCCTGCTGCGTAATTGGAATTTAGATAGGTAAGAGATTGTGCAGAAGTAATACTTACATAGCCAATTAAATGAAGTTTGCAAAGTACTTATTGATACGTATGATGAATAAGTTTCAAGTTTTTGATATCTGTTTATACTTACTGTTAGATCAGTGTTGGGCAAAGTACGGCCCGCGAGTCTACTCTGGCCCGCAAAGGGCTATAATCCGATATCCGCCAAGGTCAATCAACTTTTTTACAGACACCACGCAACGTAGTGAATGTGTAAAAAAATAAACAGAGGCTTTGATAATCCTAATCTGAATTGATATTACGATTTCCTAGTTTTATATCTTGAAATGTCTCTAGTATATATCTAGCGACGTTTATGGATTATATTTCAAAATATTAATGAAAAACTTAAATTTTTCCCTCTCTTGTGTCTACTGGGTCACCATAATTTATATCGTAAAAAAACAAAGTTTCAAGTAATTTTTTTTTAATTATTAGCTCTGGATGAAATACTATTGAAGTTTGATCTCCTGACTCACCAATCACACAAAATTTATGTAATTTTTTTCTATAAATATTTTATGAAATAGGGCAAAATGAATAATTTTTAGAAATTTGATTTAGACTACAGACTAATTGAAGTTTTTTTATTAATTAGGAAATGTTAGCTAATTCATAAATTTTATTTAAAAATTTTGGGATAGTAAAAAAGTTGATTGACCCGCCAACGTCCCTTCTAAAGAAGGAATGTATGGCCCTCGGAAATATATGTTTACAGCCTCGTCGATATCGGTTCACAAAATTAACATACACACAAAATTACAGAACACTACACAATAATAAAAGAAATATTTGAATTTCAAAACAAAATGCATTTTTTTCATTCTGATCCCTTCTGTAACTTCTTTTTTTCTGGCTCCTAATGAAAAAAAGTTTCCCCAACCCTGTGCTAGATAGTAGGTAACGGTAGATGAAAAAAAACAAAGTTGTAAAATTTTATTTTATATTACTTTAAATAAAACATCTCATCCAGTGTCACTTTCTGATGCTGATGAACTACTACTACTACCACTACTATCTGCAACCTGGATGATAAATTCGTCAATAACATTATCTGTTATACCATCCAGGTCTCTCATTCTCTTTTCCTCTTGTATAACGTGGCCAATACACTTTTGCCATGCTGCAGGGGTTATTAGATCCATTGATTCCTGTAATAATCTTTTTAATTCATCCATTTTAAATGTTTTATTTTTCCCTGCAACATAGCCTTTGACTTGCCCCCATATCATCTCAATTGGGTTTAATTCACAGTGATATGGGGGCAAACGTAACACTTCAATATCCTTTTCTTTAGCATATGTATCAGTTGCATATGCCAAGTATTTTTCTTTTATTGGTTTTAATATGTCTATAAGCTCCCTTTTTATTAATGTCTCCTGGAATGAGATACCTTTACTTGTGAGCCAATTCTGAATATCAACTTTTTTCCACTGCATATTTGGTATTCGTTCCAGTCGACGAGAATGATAGGGAGCATTGTCCATCACTATAACAGAGTGAGGCTCAATTAAATTTATAATTTTTTTTAACCAATCTTCAAACACTTTAGCGTTCATTTCTTTATGGTAATCGCCTTCCCCTTTCTGACTCTCGAAAATTAGCTGACCCCCTTCCAAAAATCCAGCTTCATTTCCTAAAAGAAAAAAGAAAGGTTATTGATGACCACCGAATGGAGGTTCAGCGAATGCTGAAAAGTCTATATCAACCAGTGTTGATATTGGAAGTCTTATTATGTACACTTGGTTCACACAATGGGCTACTCTGTTAATTAATTTTCACATAAGTAAGAATTAATATTTTGACGATACGCCATCAAAATATAACAACTTACCAATGTGCACTATTATCAACCGCTTCCCTTTTCCAGAAGGCCCCTTCAATCCTGTAGACAATCCTTCTCGGTGAGCTTGACGGGTTGAATGTATTGTAGTATCTTGCCACACCTTTGTTTTTGTATGACCTTCAATAAATAAGAAACAATAATGTAAATGATGAAAGAAATCTGTACTGAATATTGTGGTAGTTATTTATAAAATCACTGATATAGCTTTCAGTATTGATTTCAGCTATGGAGTCTATAATGGTGTATTAGGAATTTTGTGAAAATTGTAAACGGATTGTTGAAATACATACCTTCATTAATCCATGTTTCGTCAGTGTAATAAATTTTCCGCCCATCTTCTCTCATTTTTGAAATTTTTTGCAAATAGTTGCGCCTCCATCTTACGATTTCTCTTTTCTCAATTAGAGCACTTTTTCTTGATCTTTTTAAATATTTGATTTGTAGTTTTTTAAGTAATTTTTGGAAAGTTGTTCTTTTGAAATTTGGTAAATCATCATCTTCGTTTACTGACATAAGAACATTGTCCACAGTGGGAAGTTCATTTCTAAAAAAGAACTCATGAACTTTTCTCCTAATAGCACTCAACTCGAAATCTAAAAGTTTGTCAATTATCGTTGCTCTTTGAGGAGGCGCAACGGGTGAGCTAACACGGTGCTCATTTCTGTACTGTTTCAGTACCTTGTAGACTGTAGCAAGGCTTACGCCGGCGGTCTCCGCGGTTTTCTTAGCCAAATCCTTTTTGTACCAGAATTGATCTTTTGGCCAAGTATCTTCAACGAGTTTATATATGTTGATTATAGTAGTCTTTTCGGAAGACCTCAGAGCGGATTTCTTTTGGCGCTTCTTCATGGGCGTTGAAAAAAGCTTCGTCGAGCTTGGTCCAGGTTGGTCACTCATTGTAACACAATAACAACAAAACCGTAACAAATTATAACAGAAAGTCAACAAAAACACTCAACAAATAATAACTATAACAACAAAAACTCAAAAAAGCAGAATCGCACGGAAAGAAAAGTACTTGTATTACTGACACAGAGACAAGCAAACAAGTGAGTGATGGCGTCGGCCATTGTTTGTTTACAAATTTGCGTTCCGTTCCACACCAGTTTGAAATGTATTTTATGTTTTCAAAATAATATTAATTACTGCCGATTTACATTGCTATATTTTATAGCAATTCGCTTATCATTTACAATAATAAAATATTTTTTATATTTTTAAATCACGTTTTGTTTATTTCAAGCAGATTTCTTATTTTTTGGCAGTTACCAATAAGTGAAGATGCTACGTTTCGTGGAACGTTATACGAAGGTCAATAATACGTCTAAATTAAAATGCAGTTATTGTTTTGAATACTATAAGGATTGTAACGGTGTTTTTTATTTACAGACTTATTACAAAAGTGCATAAATGTTTGCAAACCCTTCCTTCAAATCAAGAAACCATTAGGGATGAAACAGTTTCATAAATAATTAGTTACTGGTAATTTTTATATTGGTTTCCAATCACTTACTAGTGGTTTGAAATTTCTTTGCAACAAAATTCATCACAGACATGACTACTAGATTAGTATCATCAATGACCTAATAGAATTTCGTGGAAAAATATTGAAATTGTGGTAATCGTAAAACAGTTTGAGGTGAAAACCCTAAAAATCATATGTTTTTGTTTGTTTACATTTATTCTACATCGAGTTTGGCTGGAGTATAGATTTCACAAAATAATTGAGTCAAAATAAAAACGACACTTTTCCCTCCAAAAGGCCCAGAGCGAATCCAGAAACAAATCGCTGATGATAGTGTCATTATGAAAAAATAGCTACTTGTATGTTGTGTACAAATTATATTTTTAGTTTTCGTTACGTATTATTACGTTTTGAATTCTCAATTATTTGTTAGCTGACGGCTCTTATAGCCAATGCTCATTATAAATAAATATAACTAGTGTGGTTCAGAGAATCGTCTACGTTTTTCAATATTTTCCAATTAGTTTTACTGCTCAATAGATAATGTACGCGTCACTCGCACATTAGATGGTGTATAAGTTTAATTAGGTAAACGGTGTCGTAATAAAACTAGCTCCTAAAATTTGATATTTTAGTAGTTTAAAACAAACAACAAAATATTAATCAATTATTTATTAATAAAAAGCGTACATTGGAGAGTGATTATAGTCGATCACCTCGTTATTTAATAAATATGACACTAACACACGCACTGGCCTTCTTATCATACAACATAACTAATGCATTTGCATTTTGGAAACTTTCGAGATTGGCACCTAGTTATTTTTTAAATGTTCTGTGATTTTGCCAATAAAACTGAAACTAAATAAGGTATAAAAAACCGCTTGTAGGACTGTACATCTCGTTTAGCTATTCCAGCCCCCGTAGTATGGCTACGCATGATAGTCGCGACGCGCGCGATAAAATTGAAATAAGCGCGCGCTATTGTCTCAATCAGATATAAAGATGGCCAATAGCGCGCATCGCGACTATCATGCGTAGCCATGTTACGGGTCCTGACATTATGTTAATAAATCAATTTCTAAAAATATCGATTACGTTAGTTATAATAAAGAGGGTAGCGTAGTTCTTGGTATTTTCACTGGTCTAGTAGCAAAGTATATTTATTTAGTGCCGTAGTGTGTATAATGCCGCAACCGCAGCATATTTTAGAACCATACAAGGTTTAGTACCAAAGCGTTATTCATATAGTCCCGTAGCATATACAATGCCGCAAACTGCAATATACTTTAGTACCATTTAGGGCTATAGGATATTCAAAATCGCAGCTCGCAGCTTATTTTAGTACCGTAGAAAGTATGTAATTTCACAGTACGTTTAGTACCGCAGCATATTAGTGACAGATTGAGTAAGCTGAGCTTCCCCGCTCAGCCATCGATTGTAGTCCAACCTCATCAGCAAACGTGCTAAGTACACTCCACATGGTCGATCGCGAAGAGATACTAATAGTTGCATTAGTTGTTTTACTAGCGTGTTGAATCTGTAACAAGTTTTGTATATTGTAATTTTCTTTTTTAAATAATATATATACATGTGACGAGACGGACAAGTCGTGCTCCTGGTGCTAATTCCTCACTTCGAATAGGTGGACAGCTGTTTGTCTAAAATTGAAATGAAAAATTATTTCTAGAGTGTGTTTCAATGCATTACTTTAGCGTAGTTCTACTACGAATTCATGGGCCAAATTAAATTTGAATTTTTAACGCACGCGCTCATCGTAGCCCCGCACTATTGAAGCCCAGACGGGTCCCATGGACACACACAGACAAATTACATCCAAACTCACGAGAAAAATAAATGTAGGCCATACAAATATTTCTCCCGGCAATGGAATCGAATCTGAAACCTCTACGTGGGAGTCCGGTATGGTAACCGTTCGGCCACCTTTTCGGTGAAAGAAAACATTGTGAGGAAACCTGCACATATCTACAGAGCAATTGCTCTGCATTTTGCTCTTTGAATTCAATGAAATGTATAAAGTGGCCAATCCGCATTGGTGGGAACTGCAGCCCAATCCCTCTCCGTTGTGAGAAGAGACCTGTGCCCAGCAGTAGGATTATTATTGTTCTGGAAATAACTTGCAAACCTAATCATTAATTTGAGCAACAAAATGTTAAATAAAAATCTTTTTGCAAAACTAAACGACAAAATAAAATCTTAACAAAACTGTATAACCATAACAGACACTACGAATAGACTCACCGATCAGAATATCCCCTAATATAATAATCTTCAGATTCCTTATCATTTGCCAGTTCGCTCATGCTGCAGAACGAGAGGCACAGCTTTATCAACTCTTGGATGTTGCAGAAAACTGGATTGTTTATAGAGTCCGTCGTCTTATTGGAGCACTCGCTTGCCGCTGACTGATATGGATAGTTATATTATTGTTTACAATTATAGTTTACAAATTTTTAAAGATCATTTGAAAGAAATATGTAACTGATAACCAAGAAAGAAAATAATATTTTAAGCACTTCATCAACAAGCATCAACAACAAAGATATGGATACCTCCCCCTATCCGTCAAGGAAATGAAATTGATACCAAAGGTTTAACAACGTCCTCACAGACATTTCATAAGATTTACCCCAAGATTAGCTTAGTCAGGTTTAAAATATTACCAGGGTGATTAAGAATTAACATGAATATTAAAAACAACGCTATCTATGATGCATAGACAGGAACTACTATAATATAAACAAAACTAATTGTACCGAAGAGGTGACAGTCAAAAACGACTGGCTCAACACGTCAGCGAGGAACTCGGCGTGGGCTTTCTTCAGTTTCTCGAAGTCGTTCGTTTTATTCACCGCATCCATGAAGAGGGAGAAGTTGGTCTCTAATACGTCAGCTTGCATGTAGTGCTGGAGGTTGTCCATCAGAAACATTAACTTGTTGTGTAGTTGACACATAATGAAGCTGAAAATTACAAAAAAAAAATATACACAAAATATTTTTTTAATAAATTTATCGGAGTGACATTACAACTAACGTTCACGTAGCAAACTACAAAAGTGCGTTTAATTTATAACCTCATTTTGACATTTATTGATTTCAAATGGTATGTTACGGACTAGTTATTTGTAACAAATAGAAGGCGTTAATATTAATTCGTTAGAATATTGTAGAGATAGATAATAATTAAATGGCAACATCGAATGTTGCAATTGGAAATACTTTTGGGATTAGTAGATCTTCATGAACGACTCGACTCAAAAGGTGGGATTGGCTCATCAAACCTAGCTGACAATCTGAAGCATGCTATACACGCTGAAACGGCGTGACAGGTTTGCCAACTACGTGGCACTCTACAGTTGGTGAAACCACAGGCGGACATTTTTTTTGGAATGACTTCGAAGTGCACCCGAATTAAAGTTATATTACAGTTAAGTGTATGTAAGTTAAGTACACGCAGTAACTTGTGCTTCTACCATGAGATTACAGTGACAGTTACGACCACGTAAAAAGTTAGTATACAAAATGTTGTTTCTGCTTGTGACCGCCAGGGGCGCTGTATAATTTGCTACACATTGTGAAGTAATATACGCGACAACTGTCACAGTAAACTTGTGGTACAGATAATTGTTCCATTGAGTTACGTTTTCATTTGCAAACCGCCGGAATTATGGAGGACGGGTTCATCGTAAATGCTCCTCGGGAGCGTCCTCCGTCAAATATAATTTTGCCTTGACGGGTTGTCGTCCTCACAAGCATGTGACAAGACTCACCCAAAATATATTTACAAAGTTTAGCCTAACAAGGTATAAAAATGTTACTTTTTTGTTTATTGAAAAATGTGTGTAAGTCAGAACTAACAAGAAAACTAAAAACAACGCCATCTAAATTTCAATTAAGAGGAGGTTGACTTGGATCAGTAACAAACGATTACAAAATATATAACTAACCTCGCTGACTGTTTATAAGTCTTCCATAAAGCATGCAGATCATGCTGTGTCTTCTTAATTCTCAACAAAAGTCGGAACATGTCGTTGTACCGCGCCAGGACTTCTGGCGTGAAAAGCAAGTGTAGTGGCCATTTAAAGTCGTACTTCAGGATTATGCTGGACCAACCGTCAGCCACTGAAAACGTAGGTAATAATAGAAGCGTTTCGGGGTAGCTAGGTACAATTTATAAATATATATATAATAAAATAAAAACAGTCCACTTATTTATCTACAATTTTTTTAATTTTTTTAATACAGATGTATTGTAGAAAAGTAAACTTAAATGAGTCAAAGCAAATACCATTAATTATTTTTTAAATTTAGTGTTATAACAACGAAGAATGGCGAACTCCGATATAATTTCTATGCGTCTGTTTATGAAAATTATGTGAAAATGTAGAATTTCAATTCCTGAACAAATTTAATTTTGGATTTTCGTCTCTCTAAAAGGTGTGGAATTAAAGATATTCCGGTTTCAAGTTTTGGATATTATATTTTACATAATTAAATAAAATATATTCGGTGTATTAGTAACAGAGTTTATAGAAGCTGAGTGCTGTCGTGGGTTTGTGACGTAACGAAAGTTCAGAGGAAAATATTTTTATAAGGTATGGTCAATAGGCATGAAGTTGAGCCATAACTAAAGAAAACAGAATTCATACATACCACGACCTGGTAACTTCAGGCACAATTTTTTTTTTTTGTGAAAGGTGCCATCTATCCCTGACATCGGGAACTTTTTTGTCAGTTTTACCACTTTGGCGCATGGCATATTTGGAATTATCTACTTTATTTTTTGTAACAAAATAGTTAATCTCTTAATGAAATCGGTCGGATCAGTACATTTAATATTACGCAAACTAAATGTGGACCGCTATATACGTAGGTAGGTATTGAAAATCTCTTCAAGGCGGTTAGATAACGCGCAACGTTACGAAGTTAACAGTCGTAGACCTCAGTTCGGTTACAAACTAATTAGTCATGAGTTTAGTTTAAATATGATTTTATTTCCAGCTCAGATAGGCCTGTAGTATAATTTGAAAAATCTAATGAATTTATTTTATGCAAACTTGTAATTAGAACGTTTGAAGACGCTAAAGAATTCTTTTAACAATAATTTCGCCATTGCACGGTGATTCACGCTCCATACTAAGGCGGTCATAAATACGTAACTCCGAAATTATTATTATTTTTTTATTTTATTACGTTAAAATATGATTAGGTAAACGTAAATTAATAAAATTATACATTTTAAAAAATATTTGACAATATTTAGGTGTAAAAATGTCTCGCAGTAATTTTGTTTTTAGACGATGTATCTAAAACATTTTATACTGCGACTTTTAATGGTAAAACTGTGTAAATAATGATTATTTGTATTAACAATAACCACAAATGAATAAATTAAAACAATAAAAATACATAAAAAAGTTCATTTTACAAAATACAAACAAAACACAAATTATACCAAAATACATTAAATCTCAACAATATTAACTTTAAATACATAACAAGTCTAATACAGCTTTTGACAGTACACCTTTTTTTTTAACAGGTAACTTTCGTAGACCTGTTATGAAGGGATTTGAATGAAGAAGCAGCCTATTTACTAAATCTGTGTTGGTCACAATGCGACTCATTTTACGCGTATGATTTTTTCTAAAAGACTTGATGTATTTGTTAGTCGCTTCAGCTGCTTCTTCAGACAACTCTCCGATTGACAACAAACCGTAATCTATAACATTAGCACCATGAATTAGAACTTTGTGAACGGAAGCAGGCATGTTATACCACGGATACTCGGCAACTAACTGCCGAGCCGTCTCTAAAGCGAACTCTTCGAAGTTCGTCTTATTAATAGTATATCCCGAATTTAAACATTGAAGGATGATCCAGCAACGATCTAGGAGATCCTTCTTGATCCCAGTAATTTCAGCGGAAATTTCTGAATTCGAGAAAAACCGCCTGGCTGTATTACCATCGTTTGATGTTCCGCTTCCGCCACTTTTAGGCTTATCCACTATAAGCCCTAATCTTTCTCTAAATTGAGTCTGAACATATGATTTTTTTGCAGCAACAAGCATTTTGTCATTAGCGGACCTAGCTTGCCATTTCCTAACATCTAACTTGTACGCGACATGAACAAAATATTCAAAAAAACGTATTAACGCGTGAAGAGGTGATAAACCAAATTCATATTTACTCTCATCGACTTCCTTATTTAAACATTCGTCAATTTTGTTCATTTCACTGGGCAAGGCGTTACAAATAAAACATTTTGATGAAGAAACACCACTAAGTGCGTTACACACTTTACCATCTACCATAGTAAGTTGCAAACAATGAGTAATGCGATATTCGCGATCTTCTTCCTTGAAAACAGTAGGCTGCAAGTTCCTTATTTAATCTTTAAAATGAGCTTCTTCCTCAACTGACACTGCAGTCGATTCCTTCAAATATCGGAGGCGTATAGGACGACAGTATCGAGTTGATGAAGGACGAGGATTTTTCCACAAAACTACTGAATTTTCTTTGTTATCTGTTGTCAAAACAAGCTGAAGTGGCACATACGAAGTAACAAACAGGCTACTGTCTTCAAGAGTGGAGTCAGAAAAACACTGTTTATATTCTGAATGCCCTGTACTGCCATCGAAACCCCATTTCCCTATCAAAGATATCTTATCTAGAGACTCATTAGGCTCATTACACTATCCAAAACATCTTTTTGAGACTTGAGAATCCGATTGGCAGTATGATCTAATAAACTTTGAAGTTCGACTTCGGCGGATGATTCTGTAACAGTAATATCTGAAGGATAACAGTGTTTTTTAGATTCCACGACACTTTGGTAAGATGGGAAAATGGTTTTTGAAAACTTATTGTCTATAAATTTCTTTACTAATATATATTGATGTCGAGTTAACTGAGCTTCAACAATGAGCGATAAAACTTCGCTAGAATCGATTTCAGGACAAGACAAGCTATCGGACGCATTGAGCAATGACTGTACAAGAGAAGGGTCTTGGTTAGACAAACTAGCCAATCTTCTCCTTTTTGTACGTTTACTGGTGTCGTCAAAGTTAATTCTCGGACGGCCATGCGATGAAGAAGTTGATGGTTTAACTTCGTCAAAGCTCTGAGATACACGTAACTCAGTTCGCTGTACATCAATATTTTCAACGACATGCAGCCAATCTGAATATTTTTCTAAGAATTTAGATCTAGTACGATTCGACTTTGCCCAGTAGTGGGAAATTCGTTTACAAATATTCTTAATTTTAAGGCTTAAAGTCTCTAAATCAATATTTTCGATGTCGTCAGAAAGGGATGATGTTTCGGTCAAAGTGCTCAGGACGTGTTGCATTTTTTCATTTGGATTACCCACTTTAGAGTGCCAAATATCAAAAATTGTCATCCTCGATACAGAACATTTGAAAAATGTACCTAAAACAATATGAAAGCTGAACTTAAAAAAAAATTAAAAATTCAATACTATGGACATGCATACTTTGACACCCCTTTAAGCCAAGAAGAGGCAGCAAGATGCAAATGAAACTTATAGCTCTTAATAAGGACATACTCCTTATTCAAAAACCATATACCTCAGGTGCAGCTCAGCGCAGCCAAAAGTTGTAGGTCTAAAGGAAATTAAGTTATGCCAAAAATTTTCACCAAAAAACTGCCTTCAATAAAAAAATTATATAAAAAAAATATGCATAAAAAAAATTAAAAAAAATTGATAATAAAAGTACATACCATGCTCTTGGATCTCCATGCTTTCACAACACGTAAACACTTGATTTGGAATAGTGACACTCAAAAACAAAGTGATTAAGTTTCGATGACTCACACGTGGTGATAATTAGTCTCGCGATGCGCTCACTTCCGATGCACAAAAGTGAATGATAACGTGACCTAATTACATTGATATTTATAGTTTTTGGAAGCTTGTTAACTAGTTACTAACTTAGTGAGTTGATCTAACCGGGATAAGCCAATGATTTTTTTTGATTTATGGCCTATGGGGGAATCACAGTGCATTGTTCTTTACTGTAGAGGTCATTAGATCAGCTATTTTAGAAATTGATTCTATTCTGCCCTGACACATACAATGTTTACCTGTCGAGATTACTTTATATACAGTTTCTAAAATTTTCTTTTTTTCAGTTTCTAAAAATGGGGATTTTCCCGTTCACCGACCGGCTTATTGTCAAATAAATCAAAAGACAATATCAAGTATGATGCTTCATTCGCATCATGCATCTTTTAATTTGCTTGAGTATTATTTATTTGACAGTAATTGTTTCGAACGGAGAACGGAGTGTCTACTCAGGGGGTCTCCCCTAATTCTTTTATGGAAAGAAAAGTAGCACCTGGAAAGGAAAAATTTTGATCAAAATTAGACTAGGGTCCATTGAAAACCAGCGTCACAGCCCATTCTTCGTCTGTGGGTTTAGCTGAATGAGATCCTTTAGCATACGCCACAGCAGCACGCATGTCAGTATAGTATTAATTAATTGAAATATTAATTTATACAGTAAAATTTGTTGTTTGGTTCAAATGTTTGTTATGCTGTTTTTTGTGTTATTTATTTTATTTTATTTATTTTTATTCTTTCGTTCATATAATTTTTTTTCTTTGTTTCTTGTCATGTGGCGTTGCAATAAATGGTTTATGGCTATTGTATTCAAAATCTAATCTAACCTAAATTGCTATCCTCATCAATAGAAGAATTAGTAGACACTTCAGGCTTCACATAGGGCAGTTCAAAGCTGAACTTCTCTATGTCTATGTTATTGCTCAGGAAAACTGCTCTCGCCGCAAGTTGGAAAGCGTGGTTCATATCTGAAAACGGAAAGAATGAACGAACGATACAAAATCGTACTTGGTGGCATTGTCACATTATTAGTTAGCTCTAAAATTGCTTTGTTTTGTTCGAACATAGACAAAGGCGGGAAATGATAAGTAAGGGAGCGTTCCCATTATATCGTGACGATAGATAGTCATGCAGTTAAATGAAGTTGTTCACATATAGTACGACACGCTTAACTATAGATCACTCATTATTTGACGTTACGACGGCAGACTGTCGTGACATTGGGAAGAGCAAGAACGACAGTCGTCTGACGATAAATAACCGTCAATTAATTATTAACCGTTAATTTTATTTGTGATTTTGTTTTGTAATTATTTGTGTCTGACGCGTAAATGTTTTGATGTTTTAATATTTTTTTCTATTCTGTTTCTTTTTTTTTTTGTATGGTGTCGTTTGTGATAGTCAAATAAATATATTTTCTTTGTATTTGTTTGACGTTCAGTTGTCAACAAAGTACCTATACATATGTACAGGCATAGCCCGCTTGTACTTGCGGTCGGTATATTGCTATAAAAGAGATTCTCAAGTTTGCCAATTGTCGAGGAGATCAAGGAAAATACCCTGCTCTTACAACATATGGGCACCGATCGTGCGATCCAGACAGCGCTATTTTTTTAAATTAAAGATTTTGTTGACTATGCCTATTACAAATGTATAGATTTGTCAAGTGTAGTTTTAATATGAATATCCTTTTTAACCACCAAACATCTAGTTGTGTTAAGAAAAATACCTCTAGTGCCAGTCCTAGTCGTTGGCTTATCGAGCATGTGAGCAGTAAGTCTTAGCAACTCGAGAAATAGTTCGCCGCGTCCGAGTAAGTAGAAATCCTTCAACAGCTTCAGTTCGTGAATTAGCTGGGCTTCTTCTACCGCTACTGTCCATAGATGCTACGAAAAAAAAATGTTTATAATAGACTAAAGCGAGGAGACTGGTTACAAAAGTTTACTAAAAATGATTGCAAGCGAGACTGTAAACTTTTGTTTGTCTTTCTTGCAAATTATTGCATTTCATTCATTCAGATGGCCTTTCACTTTAGATTTTTGCGCTATGCGCGTTTTGGAACGAAATTTAATAAAAATAATAAACTTTTTTATTCGTACAAACTTGAATCACTGTGTTAATTTAACTACTTATACTATTAATATTTACATACAAATAAGAACAACATCTACCGCTCAACACAAAAATAAAATTAAGTAAAGGAATAAACTAAGTAAATTGCATTACAATTTCGTCATATACTACAACATAATAAACAAACAAATTATCAGACAAACTATGGCACGCTTTTAAAATATTTTGAAGTTTTTTTTCCAACTTAATATTATTTCTAATAATAGGTTTCACGTGTGTAATATCCTTACCTTCGTAACACATTCCTTTATTTCTCTAACGACATTCTCAAATTACTAACTTCAAATAAATCTGGATTCACAGATGTGTAGCTTACCATCAGGCGCACAACTTGTTCGTCCCCTCATTTGATATTAAAAAAAAAATCCAAACCGCCGCAATTACGGAAGACGGGTTCACCGTAAATGTCCCTCCAGAGCGTCCAACGTGAAATATAATTTTGACTTGTTTGTCGTCCTCACAAGCATTTGACAAGACACCCAAAATATATTTACAACGTTTAGCCTAACAATGTTTAAAAATGTTACCAGCGTAATTCAGACCTAAATCGAATACTAAAAACAACGCCATCTAAATTTAAATTTGAAGAGGAGGTGGACTTGGATCAACAATAAACGATTACAAAATATATAACTAACCTTGCTCACTGTTTTTAGAATCTTTTAAAGCTGTTTTCTTTTTTCAAGTTAATATTATTTCCAATAATAGGTTTCACGTGTCTAATACCCTTACCTTCGTAACACATTCCTTTATTTCTCTAACGACAGTTCTCAAATTACAAACTTCAAACACATCTGGATTCTTTAGTTTCTCCAATTTGTCGTGAAACTCCGCCTCTTTTTCTTCCCAGATAGTAAATCTGAAAAACAAAATGTTTCATAAGAAAACCCTATAAAGGTTTGTTGCTACAAGTTGCTTTGGGCTGCAGAAATAGCGGCGTTATGAAACTGAAATTACATGTATTACAAACAGTGTATCAGCAAACAAAAAATTGTTTTCATTTTGTATGAAAAAACCTTTTATTAAATATGACCAACTTCCGCTGTCATGATTTTTTCTTTCAATACAATAAAATGATCCTTACGTGAAATTAAGTCTATCAACAATTTAAAAATGTTCAATCATTTTGTATGAAAAACATTTTATTAAATTTGACCAACTTCTGCTGTCCCAACTTTTTCTTCCAATGCATAAAATCATCCTCATGGTGCATTCACATTATGTCGTGACGACAGATAGTCGTGCAGTTTAAAATGTCGGGGCTTGTATATTTAAATGAAGTTGTTCACATATAGTACAACACGATTAACCATTGTTAACCATTTTTTGACGTTACGTAGACAGACTGTTAAGACAATGGAAACACAACACAGTCAGACGATAAATAAAACGTTACGACATAATGGTAACGCGTACTTGCATGAAACTGAGTCGATAAGCACTAATAATATATTAATTTTATTTATTTTTATGGACAACTCGCGCTTGACCTAAAAATTGACAATGTCAAAATTGTTTTCACAAAAAAGACTAATGGCTCTGAAGACAGTGAAATCTGAAACTATAGGAGACACAGGGATGTATCTCCTATAGTTACTTCCCCAGTGTCCCAGTTAAAAATACACACTGTACACTACAACTACAATATGGTGTATAAAAAAAAATTGGTAGAATTAGAAAAGAGCATTTTAAACACTAGCAAGCGAAGTAAAAAGCATGTGTGCTGGTACTGACTACATGTGTTCAAATATATTCGAACTCATTTAATACTCGAAATTTAGCGCGTCCTCAAACTGTACGTATCTTTATTTACACCCTCATTCAACAATCTTCTATGCCTTACCTTCTAGTATCAGTTCCAAATTTCTGTAACGGTGATAGTGACTTATTATTAAAAAAACTAGTCCTCTTCACTTTACGAGGGTCGAAACCAAACAATATAACTGTTTTACCAATAAATAGTATCTCTTGGACTAAAGACAGTGGTATATAATGCGGTATCATGATTGCGTTGATGCTGTATCCACAGTCCATTATTGTGTCTTGGAGCTGGAATTTTATAATAATTTAACGCTTTTTCAGGTGGTTTGCTATATTTGCTACTAATCAACTTGAAGGGCAGAATTGAAAAAGGTCTAGTAAAAATATATTAAGGGAAATATAACCATTTTATATTAAAAAGTATGCACGCACTCGCGCGCTCTATCACGCACGCACTCGCACAAACTCGCAAGCACATGCCCTCTCTTTCACGGACACACACGCATGAATTCCTATTTCGTAACCATACTCCTATAATCGAAACACCAATGCTGGTATACAAATATCAATGAATATACGTATTGCATTAGACGAAGGTTATTTCAATATAGCGCGAAAACTCTGTGATGATATAGAAATACTTTGTTTTTTTTTTTTCAAATTATGTTTACAACCTGTAGGTACAACTAAAATAATAATGTGGCAACCCTACGCTTCCAGTGAAGTGTAGGTATTGCTGCGCCAGACAGACCCTGGAGTTACCCTGCTTGTTCTTATTCTACAATGTTGGTATATTTTCCCACATGCGAAAAATTTTTGTGCTGGTATTGTTTTCTTTTTTTTACAACTTTTATTGTTTTATGTTTGAAGCCAATAAACGATTATTATTATTATTAAACTAGTGTGTACCCTTCATCTGTGAACTTGTGCGGTTGACGTGCACGTCCCGTAAAAACTTATTAAATTATATGCATATATTATATATAAAAAATTATAACATTGTGATAGGTATGATACCTTACTATCATGGAAATATATTTTTTTAAATAAAGATTCAACATACGGTAGACACAAGTGATTTATCACCGGTGTTAGTTGTAGATGGTGAAGAGAACAACGTGTCACAAGAGTCATGCTTCAAATTGTGAGATATGAAAAATTCTTGGTAGGGATCTCTTAGTTCTCCATATAACATCCATGTGCAGAGCTGGTTGATGAATACTTTGTTTATGTTGGAGAAAATTCTGAAAATTAAGTTAATTTTTTTAAGCATTTCAAGTAAATGCTTTGTGATAGTGGTCTGCATACTCAGGACCATAAAATGTAATGTTTAATTTCTTTTGGGGTGAACAAAAAAACCATATAAAATAAAAGCAATAAGAAATATTTGTTAATACAAAGTTAGAGCCCTTAAGAAAAAATCCTTCCATCTGGCTGGATTTGAACCGGCATCTTTTAGCAAACCGTGCCAGACATTATGCCAACTAAGCCGCGGAATGTACTAGCGGACTTTACGAATTTTTCTACGTGCTTATTATGGAGATCTTTGGTTTTTGTTTTTTAAACCTACGTACCTACACATTTTAAAGGCTCACGCACATTATTACGCGCCGTACTGCACGGCATCGTATAACAATAATCTTCCTAAATCACTTTCGTACATTTTATGTATAAAATATAGATATATGAGTAGGTATATGATTGCTGAGAAAGGGGCGGCTGGTACTGACTACATGGCCTGGGGCCAAGGTCCGCCGAGACTGCAAATCCGCCACTGATATTATGTTGTAAAGTTTTTAAATGGCATGTTGTTTCTACTTAAAATAACACATTGTAAAAACAGTTGTAATCTCCAAAGTATAAAAACAAGTAATATGAAATAAGTATAAACTAATACTACTTTTTAATCGACTTCAAAAAAAGAGAAGGTTCTCAATTCGACTGCATGTTTTTTTTTGTATGTATGATACGCGATAACGTGATTCTTTATTGTTGGAAAGAGGGTTCCTCAGCAGTGGTCTCATTTAAATTTGAAGAAAATATTTCACCACTAAGAGCAAACTGGGGGATGAATGACATTTGAGGTCGATTTTTAAGTACTCAGTACTGAGATTATTATATTACATTATTCGTAGTAAATAAATCATATGTCTAAGTAATTGAAACTTCAAACAATAACATAATATAAGATTATAAATTTAAATAAAGCTATACTTACTGTAACACAGCGTCGTGCACCATTTCATTTCCATTCAAAATATACTGATGAGTTAAATCCAAAATTTGACATCCCCTTAGGTCTCTCTCTTTAATCGTAGTTATTATACGATTTAACGTATTAAAAAGACTTCTATACTTTTCCACATAGCTGTACACAAAAGCTAAAGTATAGCTATGATTCCCAATAACAAGGCCTTCTACTTCTACTAAAGTATTTTTGTACGATTGAAGTACATCCGCTATTCCTTCACTTAACGCCTGTGTGTAGAGACCATTTGATTTTAAACTAGTAGCTGTAATGAACAAAACTTCTTTTTATTAATATCAACATTCCAGGTAACAAACTGTAATATTAATCTCTCGTGGTGTTTGATGTTCTTTTGAATTTTATGATACCAAGGAGATTAAATACTAAATTTTTAAATTTTTATTGAATTGATATTCAATTATTTTTTGTGAAATTGCTCCACTAGTTTGTTATAAGTATTAATACAAAGATCGAACACTCAGAAAAAATTCCTTCGATCCTGCCGGATTCGAACCGACGTCTTCTAGCATACCGTGCCAGACGCTATACCAACTAGGCCACGGAACGATGATTCATTCGAACGAATTTTTCTGTGCTTGTTGTCGTGTCTTTGTATTAGGTTTTTTCAACGACTTTTTAGTCGTAGCGCCATCTATAAGAAATCTATGAAAGTTTTATCACCCAGTTAGATACCTTTACATCTACCGGCCCTGGCGAGAGATGTCGCTATTCACTGTATTTAAAATTTTTATTGAATTGGTATTCAATTATTTTTTGTGAAATTGCTCCACTAGTTTGTTATAAGTATTAATACAAAAATCGAAAACTCAGAAAAAAAATACTTTTTTATTAAAACATTAAGTGCGCATTTGACTTCGATGATGATAGGCTCACATGTTGGAAAGTGACGATGATGTCGACAATGAAGCATGCACATCTAAATGCCCATTCACTCTCGCTTTGAAAGCGTAGTAGAATAAGCACAACTATGGTAACTCCGTACAAAAGTCGCAAAGCGTCTTGTATATTAGCGTGCCCGCCGCACGCCGCGTCGTGTACGGACAGACGCACACATTTGCATAATGTAAGGTTGCTCTAGCATTGCACAACACCGGTCGCCTCAACGCTCCTTCGGACGTGTGTGCGTCCGTCCGGATTGTGTCCGTAACTTTACTATCCGCGCGGTTATTTTACATGGAGTACCCTATTTGTTTTATTCGACTATGTGGAAAAGGCCCAAGTGCATAAGTGATACCGGACACCGTTCAGGGAATACGTCTGGTAGGGAATGCCACTTCTATGGAGTGGCATTCCTTCCCTTTACGTTCGGCATATAATAAAATAAACTAAGTGAAACAATTTTTTATTTTTACTTGTAATTGAAGAAATCGATAGCATAATATATTTTACGAGATACAGGGGAAATTCAAATTAATCTTGGTGGAGGAAAAATTAACAAGTTTAATAAACGGTTCCAGTTACAAATGGATAAGTAAATTCTGTGTACCTGATTTAATTTTGCGTGCATGGAAACCGGTGGCTGCCACGTAATTTTTAATTTTATAGTGGCTCTTTGCAACATCGGAAATTCGTCCATAAAATTCTGCATCGCCTTGGTTTGAAAATACATTGGTTTTATCCTGGAGAATACACACATTTTGTATGAAGGATTTCTTATCAAGCTTGTGTAGGTTGTACACAAATTTGTGGTTGTATTTTACTGTTGTGGCATATATTATTGAATTTATTGACTCCCAATACATTGATTCAACCTGTATAAGGAACACTAATACATGCCCAGGATTTCGTTATTTTGTTGAATCCAGCAGCTTCTTAAGTAGTTCACGCATATACACACGCATACCAAAATGCGGATGAGTTCATTATTAAATCGCACATTTATAAGAGTACCCTACCATTGCAATTATGGTAAGAAAATGTAGTAGAAAGTAACTCCTAACTATATGGCAATTGGTATTTTATTTACGAGTTGTGAAACGTTAAGATGATGTACTGTAAAACCCAAAATGGTTTATGTTACATCGCTTTAGTTCTTAAGCTAATTTCTAATCTGTTTGTATAATAAAATTAAAAAAGTATATAACGCATTATAACAGGTTAGTTTAATTATAGGTACCATAAACCAAACACGCATACAACAACAAAGTCCTTATTAAGTTTATCCTTATAAAACATATTTTCGAACTTAATCTGCAAATAATAACGTTAGTTACATTAAATTTTACATGCATATTTCACATTGTACATATTATACCGACACCAAGTATATAATAGTGTTTATTTCACATATTGACTCAGTGTTACTGCATTTGCATACCAGATTACATACTTTGCTGATAACATATCGCACTGCTATTACAATAGTGTTGTAACTCAAAACATGTGAAATTCAAGATTATACTATATTTGAACGTGAAATTTGATTCTCTACACGTCAATAAAACCGTCATTAGAATATTGCAAGAAACGATTAAAAGATGGTACCGTGTGTTACTGTTGATGGCTTACTAACGTTTGTGACACCCCCTAAAACATCACTTTTAATTATGATCGGAATTCATAGATTTAGTACATAGGTTTGGAATTCGACAAGTGAGGACTTGTGTCATGTTCATATGTTTTTAAAAATTTTTAACCGATACATAGATTTTAAGACATTCTTTCACGGGAAGTGAATAACAACGATTCTGAAAAAATACACTTTTTGAGTTAATACACTATTGCAATAGTGCGATATAGTCAGCTTATTGCAAGAAGTCATTAATTGTCATATAATTTATATGGCAATAACTGCTTTCTTGCAATAAGCCGACAAATATAATATTATGCAAAGAATGATATATAGAGTTAGTTATTTTTAATAAATTTTTAATAAAATAATACTAATAACCCCACAGGACTATATTACTAACATCATAGACAACAACTTTTGTTCCATGACTTTTACAAAACAATAAATTTACCAAAACAAACTTTAAAGTTTTTGTGTGTATGTACTGAGACATTTTGGATATTTATTTGGTAGAATAAGTTCAAACGTGCAAGTGTCCTCGACGACAACGTGGACACCCTGCACAGAGTTATTACCTTTTAGAGCAATCTTTTTAAATTCTATTTATTTTTGTATGATGAGGAAATTGAAGTGGCGTTGGGCTGGACATATCATGATAGAGACTGGAAAATGGACCGGAGTGGTACCCAAGAGAAGGCAAACGCAGACGGGGAAGGCAGAGAAAAAGATGGGAAGACGATTTAAAATTGGTGGCAGGCCCATTTTGGCAACAACAGGCACGGGAAATGGAAAACTAGAAGTCTCTGGAGGAGGCTTATGTCGAAAGACAAGCTGATGATGTGGACGTTATTTAATTATAGGAAAATTGTACACAGATTTATTTATAATGAATTATTAATCTTGAAATTATTTAAGTATTAGTTTTAATTCGAAATTTATGTCTATTATGTTTCTGGCATCCCACTTCGCCCTACCGGTCATTTGAGAACAGTCCCCCGAAGCATGGCACTTGCAGTGAAAAACCCGCATGCATCGGACTACTTACTATGAGCGTTTACCCGCTACTCTCAGACTTGAATTGTCTGACGAAACATTTGGGCGCCGGCTCAAAGACCTTTTATTGAAAAATCCTGTGTACTCTGTAAATGAATTTATGGACTTAAAATTGTAACAATATTGAGCATTTTTATTTTATTCTAATTTTTACCGCATTGACATTCTCTTGTAAAATTATTATCAACTTATGACGATCCTTCATTGCGAATCATATTCGATATGTAATTTAATGACAACAATATAATATAATGAATTGTTAATTTTCTAATTATTGTGTATTTTTTTAAATTTTCATTTTTGTTTGACATCTCGATATAATTTCTTATACTTTGACATGTAGTGCAATTTATTCTGTAATGTTATATTTGAGAAATAAATACATCTGAATCTATTACTTGGTTTAAGATATTTTATAATTTTTAATAATGAATTGTATTTTCTGCTAACAAATAATAATAATAAGTTTGTTTATTTTCTCACCACAATATAGATACATTGAGCATAATTACAAGCACTATGCATAAAAAAAGGTCACCACCCCTTGGAAAATACAAATTTGCAACTTAGAATTATGTACTTGTACATCGATAATTGCGATTACTAAATTATCCACCTAAATTAAACTTTACAAAGGAATAAAAATCATAAAATAAAAAGGAAAAATATTGTATGTGCAGTGTTAGTATTTGTTTGTGTATGTGTTTTTAAGTGTGTGTGTGTGTGTGTGTGTGTGTGTGTGTGTGTGTGTGTGTGTGTG